CTCCCCCAAATTCAAGATCACTCGGAATATTTCGTTTATTACAGTTTTTGGGTTTCGTTTGTTGAAAATAAGTGACCATGGGCCCCAAGAAAGCTTCTAGTGCCAACCCTGTGGTAAAAAGGGTGAGAATTAGTATGGAAATTAAGAAAGATTTTGAAGGGTTTGGGGCTAACCCTGAGAAGCCTATGCCAGTTGTGGAATCCATTGTGCCTACTTCAAAAATTAAGGAAATGTGTGCACAGTGGGTTGAACTGCAAACCTTTATGGATGAAAATCACCCTGACAAAAGCTGTTGCAAGGCGTGCTGGTGACTATTTCAATGACAATGTTATGGCCCATTTTAGACAAATCGTAAAGGGAAAACGGGAGGTACAGAGCTCTATGGACAGAAAGAAGTCCAGTGACTCTGAAGCTGGTCCTAGTGGCATTAAAAGAAGAAGGGAAGTAACCCCGGAAAAGGACTTGCCTCCTAAAGTGTTAATGGAAGGGGATTCCCCTTCTAAACACTAACACTCCCCTCTCTCCCCTCCTCCCATCCCATAAATCATCACCAGATCTTCAATAAAAGTAAGTGTCATGTAATTGTGCATGCCTTTTTCAGTTTGTGTGTACTAAAATTAACATTTTTTTGTGGTAAAAAAATTTTTTTTTCATACTTTTGGGTGTCTTGCACGGATTAATTTTATTTCCATTATTTCTTATGGGGAAAATTAATTCGCATAGCGAACATTTCGCATAACGACCAGCCCTCTTGCACGGATTAAGTTCGCTATGCGGGGGTCCACTGTATATTGTAATAAACAGAATAGAGGAAATAAGCTCTAATATACAGTGGACCCCCGCATAACGATAACCTCCGAATGCGACCAATTATGTAAGTGTATTTATGTAAGTGCGTTTGTACATGTATGTTTGGGGGTCTGAAATGGACTAATCTACTTCACAATATTCCTTATGGGAACAAATTTGGTCAGTACTGGCACCTGAACATACTTCTGGAGTGAAAAAATATCGTTAACCGGGGGTTAACTGTACATTATTTAGGTATGCATACTGGTTAGAGAGCCCGTCGTAAGTCCGAGTCATTGGTAAATGAGTACATCACTGAGGAGAGGCTGTATATATACACACATTCATATACATACAGCTTATAATGTTAATATGCTCCCAAAAATTAATTGAAATTCAAAGGTTTAGTGTTCGTAACCCGTTTTACCCTAAGAAACAACGAACAATAGATGTATGCGTTCCTGAACTCTAATTTTCTATATGTAACTTTAGGTATACCTGGAGAGGGTTTCAGGGGTCAACACCTCTGTGGCTCAGTCTGAGACCAGGCCTCGTGGCTGTATCAGGGTCTGATCAACCAGGCTGTTACTGCTGGCCACACGCAAACTGACGTATGAACCACAGCCCAGCTGGTCAGGTACTAACTTTAGGTGCCTGTCCAGTGCCTTCTTGAAGACAGCCAGGGGTAATGTTTTCCCTAAGAATACTTACCTGGAGTTTACCTGGAGAGGGTTTCGGGGATCAATGCCCCCACGGCCCAGTCTGAGACCAGGCCTCATGTTAGATAAGGGTCTGATCAACCAGGCTGTTACTGCTGGCCGCATGCAAGCTGACATACAAACCACAGCCCGGTTGATCAGGTACTGACTTTAGGTGCCTGTCCAGTGCCTTCTTGAAGACAGCCAGGGGTCTATTGGTAATCCCCCTTATGTATGCTGGGAGGCAACTGAACAGTCTTGGGCCCCTGGACACTTGTGTTGTCTCTCACTGTAGTGCTTAACTAATATTTTTCCTTGAATATGCCTCTTTTAAATTAATGGCATATACAACAATAAATTTCTATGATGTGTGTATATCAATTACAAAAAAATGCAGTAGTTGAATCCCGTTATCCCAAAACTGGTTATACTGAAGATTCATTATCTAGCTACAAACACTTGAAAGTGGATAAGCTGCCAAAATCCTAAAAAAATAATGTTTTCTGTAAGATGAATTCACAGCACTAAACAGCATTTTGGGAAAAATATATAGGGACTTATAGGTATACTATCAATGCTTAACAATAGGCCAAGTTTGTGAGATTATGCCACTGATGGAGAAATATTGCATATGACCTCTGACCTCAAAATGTAGTTTACACTGCAGTGTGTTCTGGTCCACTGTATCGAAAGCTGTCTGCAGGTCTATGAAGAGGCCCAGAGGTATATCTTTATTTTAAAAATCTCATAAAGCGGGATTAAAGCATTTTTATAATTGCATCATTTGTACTTTGGCCTAAAACCAAACTGGCAGAGGTTGAGTAATGGCAAGTTGGATATTGGCCTACAGTTATTTACCTCAGGTGGCTCGCCTCCTTTGAGTATAGGGGTAACCCTTCCTACCATAAGCATCATTGGGAAAATTGCAGATTCTAATGATTTGTTGAACAAAGTTGCAATAGTTTTTGACAGCACATGAGTTGCTTTTTTTGTACATAAGTGGCAGTAAAAACGTTAGTCTTCCTGTCTTTCTCAATTAATTTATTATAAGTGTGACATCACTAAATTAGAGTGAATTTTTGGAAATTTCTATTAAGATAGTCACTCGCCTGATCATTTGAAGTTAGGATTTTCCTAGCTAGTCTTGATCCTTTAATAGAGAAAACTACTAAAACATTGCTCCTTAAATTGAATTTTATAACTAATAAGTAATTTCTGCAAGTCTTTTATCTCAAATTATATTTTCAATTCAAAAAACTTTTATCTGAACATTACATGAAAAAAATGATTGTGTCAATTGATGGCTTAACATTGGTTTCACCACATCACTCATTCTAACATCGTATACAGTATTGTATTTTAATGTGTGTGTGTGCTGTCCACGCCCTCTTGTAGTTGAATGGGGGGGGGGGGGGAGTGTGGGAAGAGTGTGGGTGATGAGTAAGGGAAGCAAGAACTAGACTGCCTCCAACTTTTTCTCACTCTCCATTTCATTCGCACTCTCTCTTTTGTGAGGATAATTGTTTAAGGGAGCATGTTGTGTGGATGAGTGGAGTTCTGCTGACCCAAGACACCACTAGGTGATGTACACAACACAGCAGCACCATGTGTTTGTGTGTATATGCATGTGCATGTGTGTGTGTGTGTGTGTGTGTGTGTGTGTGTGTGTGTGTGTGTGTGTGGTGTGTGTGTGTGTGTGTGTGTGTGTGTGTGTGTGTGCGTGCACGTGAGAGTTGGCGCTTGTGCATACAAGTGTATGAAAGGAAAATTTTCTCGAATATTTCTGAGTGCTTAAAACAAATTTATGTCTATGCTATAATGTTCTCTGCTCCAACAATTTCGGGATAATGAGATTCAACTACATGTAAACATAAATAAAATATTAAACAGTATGTTGTGTATAGTATTTACCATGAATATTGATCCTAATTTTCTCACTGTAAGTATCTCTCACCACTGGGAGTGCAAGTCACTTTTTCTTAAGTAATTAACTGGTTTCAAAATACCAGTCACTTATGTGTAATTAATTGGCTCCAGAATACCAATGTCACACACACACGAGCTTTTAAATCTCTGCGCAAAATTCAACTTAAACCAGCAAATAATAGAGCCTACTAGAGTGGAGAATACACTAGACCTCATCTTCACTAACAATGATGATCTGATATGAAATGTCACCATATCAAAAACAATATACAGTGGACCCCCGGTTCGCGATGCCATTGGTATCCGATAAATCCGGTATTTGATGCAATATATCGCAAAAATTTTGCCTCGGTTCCCATTACAAAATCCAGTATACGCGATTCGTCCAAGACGTGTCCACGTGTGGCCTTAACTGCCCCATGTGTGCCAGTGTTTACAAGCCAGCCAGTGTGCTCGCATCTAAGGATACATTTGGTACATTCCATATTATCACAGTGTTTTTGGTGCTTGTTTCTGCAAAATAATTCACCATGGGCCCCAAGAAAGCTTCTAGTGCCAACCCTTCAAGAAAAAGGGTGCTAATGACTATTGAAATGAAGGAAGAGATAATTGCAAAGTAAGAAAGTGGAGTGCGTGTGTCGGAGCTGGCCAGGTTGTATACAAAACCCTAATCAACCATCTTTACTATAGTGACCAGGAAAACGGCAATCAAGGAAGCTGTTGTTGCAAAAGGTGCAACTGTGATTACGAAACAGCGACCGCAAGTGTTAGAAGATGTTGAGAGACTGTTATTGGTGTGGATAAATGAAAAACAGATAGCAGGAGATAGCATCTCTCAAGCGATCATTTGTGAAAAGGCTAGGCAGTTGCATGACGATTTGGTAAGAAAATTGCCTGCAACTAGTGGTGATGTGAGTGAATTTAAGGCCAGCAAAGGTTGGTTTGAAAGATTTAGGAATCGTAGTGGCATACATAGTGTGATTAGGCATGATGAGGCTGCCAGTCCGGACCAAAGAGCAGCTGAGAAA